TTTTTCGTTAAAGATTATTTTTGAGGGAAAAAATAAATAAACGCAACTGCGCTCCAAAATGGTGTTCAGATTCCTGTTGGAGCATCGTCTCTGAATAAATACATGCACATATAACCTCCCCACCACTTAGATATCAAACTACCTCGGTTACCTGGTAATTGTCCTACCTAAGCTATCCCACAATTCCCAGAGGAGAGCCATGCATTTGGAACATCATGGGATCGCCAATTATGTTGAGCAAAATTTCCAGTCCTGAAGGGGACTTCCAGGCAAAAGAAGGAGAGCATAAATTGAGAGTAGAATCGAAGGGTGGAGTGGAAGTAGATACGAGGAGGATGGTGGATGTGAATTCAGGTAGAAGTTACACGAATAAAGAGAAATCTGCCATTCAGTCATAAATCTTCTGACTTAGAAGAAAATTTAGCAGAAAAGAGACTCGGTGCCATGTTTTAGCCGTTCCGGTCACATATGAATGTTTGTTGAACGTCTTCAACACCGTACGTAGCCAACCGTGCTAATCGGAGTTGCTGGGGAAGGACAACAAACACACAAAAAGCAGTTCTGAAGAAATAAAACGTAATAAAATACAATTCTCACGATGTTTCGGCCACAATGCAAGCAGCCGTCCTCAGGTGAAAAACAGGTCTGTCGGAAAGACATATCTGTTCGTCACCTGAGGACGGCTGCTTGCATTGTGGCCGAAACGTCGTGAGAATTGTATTTTATAATGTTTTATTTTTATTATTTTATTATTTCCCTTCTACGTGACTTGACCGAAAGAACCAAGAAGACGAATCCCTGCAGTCACGAAAGCTTTAAATCGAAATTTAAGTTCTAGAGAAGTTAGTTTTGAATCTAGATTTAAAAGTGCATAGCTCCAGCAGCTTCCTAATATTGGAAAGGAAGAACGTTCCAGACGGCCTTAGAACCTAATCTTTGTCACCTCATTCGTCTCTCTGTTCAATATTGTTGGCATTGTATCCTGACAAAATACATGGCCACTTAATGTAGTTTCACAAACAAATTCACAGATTCCCAGCTCAACCGTTATTTGTATTGAAGACTTCGAATATACAGAACACATGTGCTCGTAACTTTTAAGTCCCGTGTCATTGCTTACGTGGCGATCTATTGAAAGCCCTTTCAGTTTTATGCTTCTCAATGTATCAATGCTGACCAGTGATGCTGACCATACTTCACCACACTGATCATCGCGTGTTGGTGAAGGTGGGGAGCATAGACCTGTGAGCATAGAAGTACAATGTGACAACACATTTGGTTGGACTGCCCTCTGCTGAATACCGGGGAGGACAGCCCTGCAGCTGCCTATGACAACCTGGCATGAATGTTTGTGACCCATCATAGGGCTATCCAGAGTCAACCCTGCATCAGGTTCCGAGATCAGATGAGATCAGATGTGCTTCGAATATCCTGAACATGTTAATGTCGGAGCGTATCTTTACGGTATCACTCAGGCGTGCCACGTTTGATAGATAAGGAAGGTAAACTGATAAAATCATGGAACACACCGTACTATTCAAATCGAGACTATCCATCTATGTGTGCACTAACTTCCCACGGTAAAATCCCAAGAACTGGGAAGGTGCACACCGTTTTTCTTTTACCATCCCATCTGTGGACCACTACTACTACTACAGAAGAAGAATATTTTGCTTTGCAAAAAATAAAAAAAACACTCGATGCCCGAATGTTTGTTCTATAATCGAGGCGGGTGTCACAGCTGGGTAGAGCTAACAGCACGTGGATATTGTGCACGACGATTCTTGCAATACATTTTACACAATAACTGCCTGCAACACACAGAGGTACGGCCACAATGGTAAATGGTAAAACAAGATACAAGTGGTCACCAATGCTTGCCACCTTGGCTTCGGCGGGTAGACAAGAAAGCTCCAACAAGTCCCGTTGGGCTGCTAAAGAGCGCTTAAGGGCTAAGTGTGTGGGGAGAGCTTCGCTTGGTCAACATGTCAGTGGATATATTGCCTCTCACACCTTCACTCGCTCGCCTGAATATATTGGAAGATGAAAAGGGACCTTGTATTGAAATTCGTTCGAGAGGGCGGTGTGACGGTTGTAGCCATTGCAAACCACTTGTCCGTTGGGCCGCTTTTTCCAGGAGTTCCATGCTGAATGCCTCATTAAACTAAAACGGAACTGAATGCTGTTTTATTCTTGCCAGGCAAGGCACACTGAGCTATACATCTATTCTTCAGACGCGACCTGGCCACAAGCGATAGCTCAACGAAGTGGCTTATCGTGTTGCAATTTATATCAGCCAAATAATCTAAACGCGTGTTGATTCTAAATGTGGAGGGAAAATCCGGAGGACCCGGGAAAAATTTCACGCGACCACCATGTATGCATGTATGCTGAACCATGGGGAGAAATGCGAGCTCCAAATATACAGCAGGTGTCAGAGTTGGCATCGAACCCATGACCTCGTGCATACCAGCCGAGGTAGTTAACATCGTCGGAGGATTATTGCGATGTGCCAGCCTAACAGCACCATCGGAGTGTCTCGGCGTCATAGAACGAGATGCTGGTTCGTGTAGGTGCAGAGCCTTGTTGGACGCGGGCCACAGAGATTGAGTTTGTCGACACGTATTCCCGTAGGTAGCCAGCCCGACGGCCACGGCAGCCACACGCAGTGACGGAGCCAGGATTTTCAGGTAGGGGGGGCAACCCCTCCAGCAATAAAAAATGATAGGAGTTGTTAGTAAGGACTTGTCCCTTGCTTTTTATTCGACGCGTGTGCGGCGATGGCGCAGCCATCGATCGAGGGTCGAATTCGAGCCGTGTTGTGTGATCGGCATCGCGCTCGCTGAAGGTGCTGGATGCCTTCGGCGAAGTCGTGTCCTGTATACGCAACTGCGCACAATTATGTGAGCCACTTATAACTGTTTTGCCGTTACTGATTGCCAATTATGGACTCAGACTATTGTCCTATCATCTCCTAGAGTCCCTGGCACGTAATAATAGGCTACACAGTGGCAGTGGGGGTCGCAAAATGCCGATTTATTATCTATAAACCCCAATGATCCAATCCAAATTAGGGATTTCGATCGGATCATTAGGGGGCCAGGTACCACCCCACCCTCCCCCCCCCCACTGGCTCCGCCAGTGGCCACACTAGCGGACTCATATTTTCTCATCAATGTGGAAGAAAGAACGCTTCCTCCTTAACGAGCAGCCTCACCCGCAATTATGAGACTTTGCTGCTAAGTTTTGTTTTTACATAAACCCTGCGTGCACGTCCAGTGGAATTACTCAAACAACTGTCAGGTGTTTAGCAAAACATTTCGAGGAAGCTGCTTGTCCGTGTAGCTTACATGTACAATGTGCCGTGCTCAGCGGATTGTAAGGTAACGCTGAAAGTAAGATACAACACATGCACACACACTCGTGCCTAGTAATAATGTAAAGTTCTCAAAAAAATGTGAATTTCACACAAAAGGAACTAATGGATAATAAGACACCCTCTCCCCACCTCACATTTGCTTTCCAAAAAAAAACCGGGATAATTTATTTAGATAATGTGGAGAATACGTGACACGCATTGCATTGAAGTCGAGCGGAGTGATCTACTTTACAACACGTCTGTAAAATAGCTGTTAAATAGGCAACATTTCATCCAGTGACCCTTCTGCACAACAGAGCGATCCCTTCGTAGCGGAGAGAACTTTCAGGTTATTAATTCGCATTCCGTTCTTTGATGCAATTGCCAGAGTCGTTGCCGGTTTTCTCTACGCGTTCTTTTTCTCTTCCCGAGGGCAGTGTTTTGACGAACATGTTGATTTCAGTTGTCGCTTGTGCTTTTGCACCACTGCCAATGCACTATCACAGAAAAATAAATTCGCCTACGTTACGATAATAATTTTTCAGGCTCAACCCCCGTGTGTGATCATTGGCCAGACTCAGTGGCTTGGCTATGCACAATGTGGTTGCAGTAACTGTGCGTAGCCGAACCTGGCAATGGGTTTTCAATACATTTTGTGAATGCCGTTGATGTAAGGATGAAACAATGCAAGTATTGCAATATGGGGATGTATGCAATAAGATACATTTTTTACTTGTTCAGCAAAAAAATGTGCATATGTAATCTATATATACATCTAAAATACAGTTCTAATAATATACAGTCCTTTGCCAGTCAGTTGCTGGATGAAGCCATTGTAATGATGTTTTGGATCACGGTGGTTGTTCCAGCATACTTTAGCTGCGCTGGTCATTGTGGGTGGGTGATACGGCCACCCAAGACTGGTTCAGAGGTCACGCACTGCTGGTGTGAGCCATGGCTGGGTTTTTAACAAATGTAAATGTATGCATTGTAATCATCTGTGCGGGTATGAATGTCCATGTGCATGACATATTTGGCATGTAATCAATCGACACATTCACGATGCAATGAAGTCGTGATTCGACTCCAGCACTGATTACTCCTTGACTCATTTTCACTAACTCCTTTGTATTGTTTTTTAATGTTTCTTTTTTGCGTGTGCGTCTCGCTTGCACAATTCCGTTCACTCTATTAGCCCAAACACCCAAAACATTCCTTATACAATCCACGTATATCCTTTCCGTAAATGACACGTGTCTCCCCCGTCGCGCGTATAAGTATATCTATATATACATACATCCACGCGTGCATCACGAGCGTGAGAATTAATTTTTAGTTTGGCGAGTCGCGACGCGCCGTCACGTGGGTCGGCATCTATCAACATATGTGCGACGTGCTCGAGTGTGGTCGTGTCGGTGGCCGCGCGCGCGCGCGCGCTCACCGCCCGCAACGCGGCCGATCAATCAGCCGGGACGGCAGCAGCGGCCGGCGTTTAACGCCACGACGCTTATTGCGCGCAAGGCCGTGATTATTCGACCGAGCGAGTGACTCCGTGGGGGGTGGCGGTGGGGGGGTTGGGGTGGTGCGGGAGTTGTGGACGTGCTAAAATCTGGACGGTCTGCCGCTGTCTCTTCTCCTACAGGTGCCGGTGTCCATGGCTATGATGACTCCGCAGGTGATCACGTCTCAGCAGATGCAGCAGCTGCTGCAACAGCAGGTGCTCTCCCCGCAGCAGATACAGGTCCTCCTGCAGCAGCAGCAGAGTGTGATGCTGCAGCAGGTGGGTCGAAAACCCGAGATCCTAAAGCATACTCCCTCCCTCCTGCTGCTGATGGATATATATAAAAACGCTGCTGCGCTTTTTTTTCTCTGCGAAACGTGACAATGTAAGAACGGGCGGCCCCCGAAACGAATGCATGTCGGTGACTGCCGGCCTCGGGTCCGACTTTCTAAAGAGAGAAAAAAAATATCCCTAAAATGGCACTTACCTGGCTACATAACGGACGTTTAATAGGATTACAGTGATTGAATGCGAACGATGGTGATAAGTGTATGATGGAAACAGTAATGCAATTGGCGTTGAGCAAATGCATCAATGTGATTGATAATGCCCGATTGCCGTTATTTAAGCCGGGTTAAGAGCCCATTGAGAACGGGAGTCTTTTTTTTATTTTTTCAATGGAGACCTGGGCCAAAAATCAATCACAGCACAACAGAGATACGTCGCACAGAAAGAATAACAGGTTCCTCGGTGCAAAAACTATTACAGGTGGGGAAATGAAATAAATGACAGGAACAATACATATCGATCTTCATATTTTCTCAGATAAGGATACTCCTTGAATGTGTTTACATTCAAAGTGAGTTAATCTAATGATAATCATGATAACCAGCCATGGCCAATCCACTGCTGGATGAAACCCCCCAAGTCGCCACCATCTCTGACTGCTCTGTGATGTAACAATCCACCAGTCCCGTGCACATGGGCCGATTCCATCGCTCCATCTCCTCAGCGGGCGTGCCCAATTGGTAGCGTTCCATTCCTTGGCAGATTACAAAAAATAAGATGTCATGATCTCTGTTAGAGGTTTGATAATGTTATTTATATTTATTCTTAATTTTTGTTTTACTTTAGATTGAAACCACTTTCATTTTTTTGTACAATTTTAAAATAAATGGTTAGATGACTGACTGTCTGGGCAGCAAAATGTGACAAAAAGACACAAACATGAAAAAAAATCAGGCCAACATCAAATTTATTATCACATTTTTTTTCTCAATACTATATTGCCCTTAGCCCATTGCAATAATAATTTACTTATCCCCGTGACGTTGCTTTGTGCATAGTTCAATTCAGTGATAAATGTTATCGGCGTATATCCATTTGTGAACTACAGTCCACATTAAAAGCATTACAACACTGCCCGACAAAGACGTGTTCTGATCAAGTTCAATTTATTTGGTTTGATTCCTGCATGCGACTTTATTTTTCAACGCCTTTTAGAAGCCTCTCCGCTTGTTGTTAATCCTGGCCCAACTCACCCCGCCCGTCACAACCCTATACCACTTTTCAAAAGCATGTCTTTTTTTTCTAAACATATATATATATAAACATCAGGAAAGCTACCTCCCTTAGCCATCCCTTTAGATTCAGGCGTTTTTCTCAGTGCATGTCCTTCAGAGCTGGGCTTGCGCCCTTTTGTGCTGGCTTGTGTTCTGAAATTAGCACATCAGTCATGCTTTTTAGCAAGTTGCATAGGAAGTGGGGCTGTGGAGCACTGATAATGCACGCTCAGTTGGGTGTGCGGGTGCAGGTAAAGTCATTCACGGCCGCAAGATAAAAGGATTGCTGTTTGCCTTATTAACATGTCCTTCAGCTGGCGGGAAGGGCTGGTATTTGAGGGGGGAGGACTTTTCAGTTTGTTCATTTGCAAGATTCTTATCGCCTGGGAGGCCCGGGAGCGAGGAATTGCTGACAGATTAATTAACATTGTCGGCAGGTGTTGGCATCCTGTTGAGTATAAGATAATGATTGCTCAGTCACACAAAAAGGAAAAAAACCCTAACACCTTGGTAGGTCAGAGGCCTCAATAGGATCTGCAGTTGACCTGAGTGAACATTGGTAATAGAAGGGAGTAGAAAACTTAAAAAAAAATATTCTTAAATCAAATTTGCATAGCATTTCATTTTTTGGTACCCTCTTTTGCACAATGTGTTCAGCAAATTAGACGATTGTGTAACTAAAGACATCCATTGTAATGACATGTTCAATTAGGAAATGAAATTTATCAGTATATTTATACAGTGGTTTGAAATTCATTTCTGTTTTATGTTAATTCGTAGATTTGTTTACATTAAATTAAGTGTAAAAAAAAAACGCTCAATATTATCTGTCTAATGCTGTCGCTTCGATTTCTCCATTTCACAGCCGATCTCGTCTTTTTTTCAGCAACAGCTGCAGGAATTTTACAAGAAGCAACAAGAGCAGCTTCACCTGCAACTGCTGCAACATCAGCAACAGCAGCAGCAACAGCAGCAGCAGCAACAGCAGCAGCAGCAACAACAGCAGCAACAGCAGCAGCAACAACAGCAGCAACATGCTGCCAAGCATGCAAAGGAAGTACGTGTTTTATATCATTCTCTGACAGTCGCAAACTCACTGCATATTCCATGACCAGGTGTTAACTGTTCTTCAATGGATGTATTGCAGGGATGTTATTTGCCTGTGATTTCCCATTGAGTTTGACTCGTTGCTTCAAACTATTAAATGGGGTGCCACATTGGCAAAATGTTAACTCCCTCACCTGGTATACAGGTGGTCGTGGGTTCGATCCTAACCTGTATATTTGGAGCTTTCATGTTCTCTACGTTTTTTTCCCTCCACATTTGGAAGCATGTATTTAGAGTATTTGGCCGCTATACATTTCCGTGTTAGAAGCCACTTTGTTGAGCCATCATTTGTGGCCAGGTCGCTTCTGAAAATAAGCTATACAGCTCAGTGGGCCTTACCTGGTAAAATAAAACAAAAATAGTTAAATGGTTGCGTGCAGTACTGGATACGGTGACATTTCCCAGTGTTCGTCCTTTGGAGGGTTAGTTGCCATGGCGTAATGGTTTGCAAACGGTGATTTTCAATCTTAAGGTTGCCGGTTCGATCTCTCGGCAGGACAGATTCAATAATGTGCATCTTTCTCACATCCACTCGCCTCTGTACAATGCTATTCGTCTTCGATGGGCAGAACATGTTCGGTGGGGTAAAGTGTGGGAACTCCCACCTGTTCCCATTCATCTGGCCAGCATGGAAGAGTAGGCCAAAAACCCTCTTTTGGGGGGAGGGGGCTTTTAGAGCTTGCCCTCTTGGAGGCCCTTCTTCCAGGCTTCATATATTATCTGTTGGCACCGACATTATCCATAAGGAAGGCATTATCTGGAGCACAGAACACTGTCATGGAGAGAATCCAAACTTGGCACGTTTTAGAGTGGGCATCTCAAAGAAGCCCTGTGGCCATCCGCGTGTTCAGCAGGACCCCGTCACCTCTGCAAATCAGAATCAAAATATTTATTCGTACTGGAGGAATCCGATGCGCTAGAACAATTTTTTTCCGCAGATGTCCAGTAGGGGCGGGTAAGAACGTTAAAACAATGATCAGTAAAAAAAAAACATGATTTGAGTGAAAGTATAGGAAAGGTAAACAAATCACAACAATGTTTTTTGTTATTCACCAGGTAAAGCCATGAGCTTCTTTTTCAGAAGCGACCTGGCCACAAATGATAGCTCAACAAAGTGGCTTATCACATGGAATTAAAAATCAGCTAAATAAACTAAATACTCTAAGTGACCCATGTGCAGAGAATCTAAGCGATCCGATCGTCCAAAGGTTTTTAAATTGGTGACCTGTGGGTCAAGTGCAGTGTGCTGCGAAGACTCTTGAAGTGATGCCGTGCGTTTAAATCTGTCGAGAGATATTTTAAACAAGATATATACAGATTACCGACATGATAGGGAGATGAACAAGAGAAAAAGATGAGGGTCCTGGAGAAAAGAGATGCAGATTAGTTAGATGAGATTAGATAAACTAGAGATAGAGATAAGAGAGCCGTCCAAAAGAGATGTAGACTAGCAGTCACATGTATAGATGTCAAGACACCACGTGACGTTATATGTCACGACGTCACATGTCTCCATCGGTACACACCAACTTTGTTACGTGGCCTGCTCACAAAGAGGGTTGAAGAACGCTGTGATAGTCGATTTGGAGGTCTCGTTTGTTTTTGGGGCGAAATATTTTCGCGAAACATCTTGAGTGGAACTCGTGGGACAATGACGAGCACTCTGGATTTACGATCCAGAGGTTGCCTGAGCGACCTCCCGGTGTGGCAGTAGAATCATGGGAGCAAGTTTCATAAATGCCCCCCGTGCCTCTGTCCATCCGAGCACTATGAATGGGTCACACCACGTTTGATCGCCAGGTTGCGTGCGTGGTCGGCTGGGTGGCTCTCACCTCTTCTGAGACGTCTGGTCAGTGTGGAAGAAGAGGCCAAACATACCCTCTAGAGGGCTTCTCCAAAGTTCTCTAGTGGGGGGTAGGGGTGGCTTTCCGCCAGCGGTGACTTGAGCAAGAAATTGCGGGGCTGCACTTTCAGCCCGCCGTACAGCGCACGTTCACGGCAGATGCTGTTCACTGACGGGAGAAGTGCGTTCGATACCACGGTTGCGGGCACTTGATGCCCAAGTCCCCGCCGCCGTTTGTCACGTTCACTTTGCCGTGCACCGCCGCGTTAGGCGCGCACGCGCGCGTGGCGGCTGGCGGCGGCCAAGTGAGTGGAGGCGGAGGTTTGGCCAAAAAAAAGAAAAACGGCTCGTCCGAAAAATCCTTTACTGCGCCGAGTGCAATGCGTGACTCGCTTTTACCGTGATGTTATTCATTTATTCCAAAAGCTCGACCTTGGCTGTTTGCAAGCGTGCTGCGGGTGATAGCTCGGACTTATAACACGATGACAGTTGTTTACACTGGGGTCCGGGCCCTGTGACTGGAGTGCAAAGGATCTGAGTGCTGAAGACGTCCACAGCCTTGCTACAATTAGCTTTCGCGCCGCGGCTGTCTGCACCGTTCTTTGCGAAATCCAGCGAGAAGCGACAATATGTAAACCGCCCGTCGCTTCACCAGCGGTCACTCAGGATAGCAATAAATAGAGAGAAGTCAAAGCTATTTCTTGCCCAAAAGAGCATGGAGACGTTGCTCATCTTGTGTTCACAGCCCTCAGCCAGTGGTGGAAATTCCACATTCCTATGGCCGGAGTGAGTCTCTCCAAAGGACAACTGCTTGATTTATACACGAAGTGGTAACCAATTTATCGACCTTCTAGGGACTATTGGCCAAGCCAACTTCAAAACCAGGATTTTACTTTGCTACCGTCAGATTGCGACCTGCTTGCTCTACCCATGAGCCACCAAGACAGCATTAGCCTGATATGTAACTTTTTGTTACTGAAATAATACACCTGGGCATCGTGCCCATTGGATATTAAGCCGGAATGTGTGTTGGCTTAAGCCACTGCTAGTGAATGGACCTCCACTAGAGGGAGTGCTAGAGAGCCTCTCCACGAAGGGTGTTTTGGCCTACTCTTCCTTGCTGGCCACACATCGTGAAAGCTGTAGGAGTACCCACACTTTACCCCACCACACGCGGCCTGCCGATTGATCAACTGTGTCGCGCCCACTTATTTATACTTCTTGGTGGACAGTGGAAGGGGGGGGGGTTTAAGACAATTGTTTCCACTGCCGTGCTGGGAGATCAATCCGTGAACCTCTGGATTGCAAGTCCACTAGACAGTGGCAGAAGCAGCATCCCACTGGCTGAATGTGACGGGTCAAATAGCCTCGATTGTTGAAGTTTTTTGGGATATTTTATTGAACTCAAGTTTAGGCTGTGGGATTCAAACTTGCGATCTGTCGCACTCAAGGTGGTTGGCTGTTACCAGACGCTCCGTCGTAACGTATTTGAACAAACGCTAAAACGCGCATTTAGAAGGTAATCTGATTGGGTAAAGGTGACATTGATTTCAATACGTGCCATTTTATTATTTGCAGCAGAAATCTCCAGTGCTTTGAAAATGTTGGAAGTGTGTTAATGAATCAACATAATCCCATGATAGATATGTGGTAGGAATCCTGGGGACTGGAAAATGACACACACACACACACGGAACAAAAAAAAAGATCACGCACTGTCATCTGAAGGTACGGGAGCAATGAGCTGCGTCGTTGTCGGTGGAGGAGATGTTGCCGGTGCCTTTGTGTACCTTGAAGGTGTGCCAAATTACCCTGACATTTCAAACCGTGAAAGTGAGTTGTGATACAGCTGAGAACCCTGTTGTTGATTAATTGACTGCCTTGACTTGGGGGTGGGCTTGCACAGGCTTTGAGCCGTGCCTTTTTGGAAAAGTTATAAATCAATCTGACAGTGAATGGGTTTGAAAAAAAAACGTATGCCCTACTCACACGTTGGGGCTAGGGTCATCAACATGAGTCATCGCAGACATTCTACCAACAAACATTGTTTAAATTCCCGATAATGTAAAGCGAATTAGTAGAGTGAGATGTGCAACAATGTGCACGTATATATACTGGGTGGCCAAAACATCAGCAATCACAGGTTGCAATATTTATTTCAGCAAATCTCGTAGGGTTATTTAAGTTATTTTGACACATTTTCCAACTGACTTCAATTACCATTAACGCGTGCGTGAATTCTCTTTTCAAACGAATTCATGAAAACAAAATGTTATTGCCAAGATCACAGGTGTAATCTCTAAACATTAATCAATGAATAACGTTTTGTCTCAATTAATTCAGGGTTCTTGGTCGAGTTTCGTAAATTCCGAATTTGAGGTGACCCCCACAAGAAGAAGAATACAATATATATTAACGATGATAATAGGTCAAATAGTAACTTAAATAGTGAACAATTAAACTGTTTTAATGCCAGTGTTAAAATAAATTAAATAATCATGTGTGTACTGACTTGTGCCACTCTGTATATGCATGCATGCATGTATGAGAGAGAGTCTAAACGTTTTGATATCATTAAAATAACACAAATATCACTGTACATTCGTTTTCAATTTAGTAATCCTTAAAGCGAATGTGATAGTTTTACTGCATGTTTTCTGCATTGTCTGACTTTGAATATAATAGTCTATTCACATCCAAGTCCATTTCTTTTGTGGAATGTGCTCCGCTGGTCATGTCATTTTGTGCAAATGAACCTTATGGCGGTACCCCGAGGTACCATAGTTCCATAGTTACCCCGGCTCTCGCATAATCTCCGTGATGCGGTAATTTTTAGTCTGTTGATGATCGGCGATGCGGCAATCGACTCATCTCGACGAGCTGTACACGATGCACCACCACGGCGCGTACCGCGAGCGTTCGGGGTTTCGTCGCAATCGTCCTCGCTGCGTTTCGACATCGCGGAGTGTGGCACTGATTTCGGATTGATTGGTACCCCAGTCGCGGAGTTAAGTAGACCCCTGGGGAAAAATAGTGTCCCAGAAAAAAAATATTTAATTGCCGCCATAAGGATAAATTGTGCCATCATCAATCATCAATCCATGGTCACTCCACTGCTAAATGAAAGCCTCCCAAAGCCGGCGCTATCGCTCATGATCCCACAAAGTAGCCATCCACATTGCATACGAGCTGATTCATCGCTCCATCTCCTCTGGACGCCCACGGATGCGGTCCATTCCTCAGCTAACACTTTGTCATCGCGGTCATCAGTCCTTTCAAAGATGCAATTAACCTGCATATTGGCCATGACCGTGAATCGAACTTAGTTTGGCCAGGCTCATAATGCATCACGCTAACCACTGCACCAACCGTTTCACACCGCCACAACGAATTATTCCCGAATTAATGCATTTGTTTTTCTATATTGCAGCAGCAACAGCAGCAGCAGCAGGCGCAACAGCAGCAGCCGCAGGCACTTACAGCACAGCAACTGGTATTCCAGCAACAGCTCCTACAGATGCAGCAGCTTCAGCAGCAGCATTTGATGTCCCTGCAGAGGCAGGGTCTGATGCAGCAAGCCCTCCAGCGCCCTGGGCTGCCACAAGGTAATGCAATTGAGCACGCCTCGTGCACACACGCAACGCAGGTACATTTAGGGGACACATCCAGTGGACACAATTAGTGCACACGCGTGCTGTTTGCTGACCCTAAAGGGTGAATTCTCCCTGTGTGTGAATTCATTCACCTCCAGTTATGTGATGCTTTGCCGTGATGTGAAAGTTTCTGATTTGATTTAAGGAATCTTTTTTTTTTAATAAAATTTTCGTCTCGTTTTGTATTATTTTTTTACGTATTCCCATTTCATTTGCTGAGTTTTGTTACCCTCGTTCACTAACTGTAATGGCAATTTAATACAAGCGTGCATCGTCAACATATCTAAAAATTGTTTAAAATATATTTTATGTTTTTCACAATGTTATCTTGATTGTGTTATCGATGTCATGCGTGTGATGAAGAATCCATTAAAAACTCTTAAAAGCTGTGCAACCTGCCGTTTTTATAGAATTGCCCCAGGAAGCGGATATCTCAGAGCTAATTCTGAGATATATGTCAGGTACCTAGATGGCCACACTTTCCCAACCACAATTTGACTGAGTACTGTTCTTCACAGGACAATAAAAACGAACATTTAACATTTTCACAGATGTAAATCACCATCATAATGTGCAGAAACACATTTCATATGATGGTGATTTTTACAGTCTTTTGGTGACCTGGCTGAGACCAACTCATTGTACCTAAAAATAGGTGTTTGCTTTGATTCAAACGCAGCATTTCAGTGCTCTGACCTCTTAGCAACCCGGCCATTTAAAATAAATTTGAAGAAACAAATTGATTTATCATTACATGCCGAGTCAATTGACGATGTAATGCCATTGTTACCAGTTTTGTTGAATGATTGTCATTTGAAACGACAATAGTGCATGTAAATATGCCTGTATATAAGTTTTATCCCAAATATATTCGTGAAAAATTTAAGATAACAGCTTCGGTATGTTTGCCACGGAACAACAAGCTTCGCAATCCATTAGAGCGATGTTGAGCAGAGAGGTCTGTGCAGTTTTTTTTTTTCAGCGAAGTTGTCAGTAAGAATTCCACTTCCGTTGGAACAAATGTTATCAGACGGTTGTCTCAAACCGTGGGGGCTGATCGCATGATTCATGCGCAGTCTGCTGGAATTCGCAGTTCAGGCATCTCATCTGCCCCCGTTGATGCACACATATCACGGAGCATTGCGGAAAGTGCAGCGACAGGTTAACTGAGTTCATGAAGTCAATCCTTCATATGAAATTTGGGGAAAAAATGGAGGCAGCTAATTACGAATCTAATGAACAAATAAAACAAGGTTTTTTCGTGGCAAAATAGCATAATTTAATTACGAAATTATGATTTGCGTGAATAAATAAGTAATTACTCCATTGGAACCTCCTTTGCCAGTAGCAAAATATGATAATTGTTTTTTTACCCTTTTATCTGGCAACAAAACTGACACCTTTTTTTTTAGTGCGCCTTTTTGCGTGATCTGGTCCAACACTATGTGAGACTCGGCTCTATGAAAAGCTGTCTCAGGTGTGGACCAATCAATTTCAAGGACAGTGCATACATTATCAGAGTTGTGTTTTTTTGTGTGCGTTCCGACCGCAGGTATTGTGGTCAATGCAAACATGACTCCTTGTAAAAAAAAGGTGTCAGTTTTGTTGCCAGATAAAAGGGTAAAAAACCAATTATCATAAGTCATTACTGTTTTCAAGTGTTAAGCCGTGGACATTATCGAAATGTGAGGTCGCAGGGTACCTTGCCTTGGTGCAATGTTCCCTACACTGAACTGGCAAGCCATACGTTGTCATTTTGAGCTTTTTGCATGACAGGTGAAGCAATGAGCCACATTTTTTGAACGGCTCGCCTCTGTCCACTCAGTAGGGTATACGGTTGCAGCCCAGTTAGTCAGTCAGCAGGTGGATTAAAGTGTGGGTACTCTCTCCCTCTTCCAACGTATCTGACCAGTGTGGATGAGAAGGTAAAATACACTCGTGTGACCTTATTAGGTGGACCTTGTTAGGTCAAAGATGATTAGAATAAATGTGTTTTTTTTTACTTTGTATGTATGTATGTAGAACTTATTACACACCATATGTAGCAGACGGTGCTAATCAGAGATGCGCGGTAAAAACAACAAATGAAACACACAAAGCAGTTCTAAAATAAGTTTAACCAGTAAAAACAAAGTTTTTCCCTATAAATCCTTTATATGCGTGGCGGCTAGAGTCCTCTCGTCATCTGGCTTGAGATGGCTGTCACCTATGGGTCAGATGATTGCATTGCACCATTAAGCAATTGGTAATTAAATATAATATTTTTGTCCTAAAAAGTGTAAAATTTTGGAAAAAAATTTTCACGAACATTAATTGTCACGCACAACGAGTCTGTGTGGAAAATGTCAGCTCGATTGGATCACGGGAAGTGGGTTAAAAAACGACCGAAAGATTTGCACGGTCCTAAGCAAGCGAGCGAACTTAATATAAAGGATTTAAAAATGAGTGAGATGTGTAGAATAGCTATTTGTTTTGTACTATCGATCATTTGTTTCGCGATTGCCTCTGCGCGTTGACCGTGTGGATCCAACGCGTCGTTGAACGGCGGCTGTGCTGCTTTGCAGGCCTCCTTCCGTCAGACCTCCAGCATCTCTGGAAGGAGGTCTCCTCCTTGGGGTCGCACTCAGAGGAGGGCCCGAGTCTTACCAAGAACGGTGGGGGCTTGGACCTGTCACTCAGCAATCCCGTCGTTCCGCCAGGCGCTCTGTCACTTCCCAGGACCTCGCCCACCCTGACCTACCCACCGCTGACTAACGGGCAGCACACCAGCACGGGATCGCACATTCAGCGCAGGGAGAGGTGAGTGGAAATTTGCATTTTTGCCAGCGCAGTCCTAAAACATTGTTCCTCGAATCGCCTTTGCATGCCACATCCGTCTTGCCTTACTTTGTCCATAACCTCTTTATAGGATTATAGGAATGTAGGTTAAGGTTCATGGGTAGGTAAACCTGTGCTTCACGCCGATAATCATCGTTCCAAGTGAGCCTAGCAGTGTTTGAGACACTATCAAGTGAGAAATTAGACCCGTATGCCCTTAATACAAGTTAATTATATTGGGTTTTTTTCAGAGCCACAACACACGCGTTTTCAGATTCATATTTTGATGCCATAGCAAAACTACATGAAATAATATTATTTTATTTTCACCCCATTGCTGCGAATGGAGTGTTCTAATGAAATAAGAATTGACATTCGCAAACGTTTGGATCAGGCCCAACGCTCTCCTCTTTGACAGGATTGAGAACATCCTTCAAGTGTCATTTTATCTTGACTTAAAGCTTTCGTGACTGCAGGAATTAGTATTTTTGGATCTTTCGGTAAAGTCACATATATAGTAATCTTGATTTGAAGCTTTCGTGACTGCAGGAATCCATACTCTTTGGTTCTTTCGGTAAAGTCACATAGGTATAAAAATAAAATAAAATAAATCACGACGTTTCGGGCGCAACACAAGCATCCGTCATCTTTCCCCACCTGATGATCAAAGAAAAATAATAAAAAATAACAGAAAACTGTGACGCTTGCGTTGCGATCGAAACGTCGTAGTTTTCTGTTATTTTTTATTATTTTCTTTGAACCGATCTACGTGACTTTACCGAAAGACCCAAGAAAATGTCATTTTTATCTTTTACACAGTGGACGGGGTCACATTTCCCCCATACAGCCCTAAGGTGACTTTCCCACGATGGGAAAACTGATGTCTTAAAGTCTCGGAGGTTGAAATTTGATCAAATTATGTGCAAAAGCAAACGTATTGTGACGGTTTTATTTTTATTTTTGAACATTCATTGGTGACCAGGTTGAGGCCATCAACTCAACGGCTCATGAGAGCCCTGTTTAATCACAGGGCAGCTGCTCGGATTTGAACTCGGGATCTCAGCCATGCTCATTAAATTCAGTGACCTCTGAGTGAGGCAGCCAGCCACCTCCAGTCCCATAGTGGCTTTTCTCATGGGTTTTTTTTTCTTCCCGGCAGCCACCATAAGAAAATGGTACAAATGGAAACTACACGTTAAGTACTGGTGAATCAGTGTGCAAATTTGTTGTTGTTGTTGTTGTAAGAAACGCTGCAAGAGAACTTCACCGGTGCAATAGCTTTCACGAGTTGGGAAACCCATTAATTTTGTGTTATTATTTACAATCAGTTGTTGCACAAAGTAGGACTTTCTCAATCGTGGGGTTATCAGTTCTAAGCCCAGCCAGGGTCGACTGAGATGCATCGTCATCTCCCTTGGGGCAGTCAAATAACTAACATCTGGTGAGTGCTGTTCGGTGGGAATTTTACATCGTTTGATCTGTGGATACACATTCCCTTGTCCTATAAATGTGGAATGACCATGACTGGCTCAAAGCCACCGAGGCTTATGAACACTTTGCGTGCTTGTTTTACACATGGGACCACATTGACTTAACTGCACAACAAATACCTGTTGCATGCACATGTGTGTGTGTTTACACACCCCGTTCTGCATTATGACTTGGCCTCCTCATGTGCTCACTAACAGCACCTGCCCCAACAGCCTATGCTGGCGAAACGGTGAACTGGGACCTTTGTCCGTGTGTGTCTTTTGTGTTCAGCACACCTGTGTTAAAATACAGATATGTGGACTGGTATACACGTTTTTATTTTCTTATTATTTTCAATGTCAAAACTCAAGATACTGAAATAGATTGTGTTGTTACCCATGTGTTGATGAGTAATGTTTTTCCATACACAATCCCATCGTGAAATGAAACAAAAACCAACCTAAATGGATTGTTTTTAAAGTAACAAGTCATTCAATAACTCTAAAACGATGCTAATAGAAGATGCTTCATCTGAAATAGTTAATTTCTTAACACCCGGAGAAACTTCCAAGGCCAAAGGACAACTTAATGAATTTAGTAGGCATTGTATATGTACAGTTGTTTCGTCTTCCGTTCATAACCAAATTCAATACATGCATGTGTAAGTCTCTGCGTTGTCCCTGCTAGAACACAGTCACTCACCGGCTCTGAAGGGTTAACGCTGTAAAAATGAGTGTGATCCATCACAGCTTATATCAAATAATTCTGGTATTTTAAATCTAAGGGGATTAGAAAATTAGAAAGAGTTGGTGTTAGCAGTGATGCCTCGTGTGAGAAAGAATCTATCTCGGCCTTGATAAGTTATTTCACAGAAGACTTTCTTGTCTTGTGAAAGCATTTTCTTTCATGCCTTTCGAAAGTGAAAGAATGAAGAATATAAAACAAGCAGCCATGCATTTATGAGAATCCCATAAAAATGAAATGATTATTACACTTTCTACAATAAAAAGGGTGTTATGGTGATTAAATGGCGAGCATCGTACTCAAGGAAAATTGCAGAAAAGAATGCATTTCCATTTCCGCCGATATTTTTGCTTTACACATTCATATAATGCTTGAATGTATGGCATCTAATGGCATTTTAGGTATTTGAAACGTGTGTACGTTAATGCACCGCGTGTAATTTCTTGGCGTTAATAGTAATGACAAGATGGATAATGACATTGGCCCGGCGCAGTCATTTTCCGCGTTCTCTTGCGCGCAATCGTACTCAATGCGTGTGTGATGCATTGCACAAAAGTACGGCGAAAACCGCACCGGTGACTCATTTGTTTTCTATCTCGCTGGAAAGCATCCGTTTAAATTCGACGCCATTCCGGAGGACGCATTCGGAGACACATGCTCTTGTCGATTGAAACATCCGTCAAACGCTGCGTTTAATTATTAGGAGTTAAAACGTATAAAGTTTTATTCAATTAGTCTCATTTAATTGATGAAAGTGATGTGCTTGTTCTGCGCTAATTGATCTACGAGAACGTAATTACCATTCTGTCGTATTTGCACAACCTTTCCAGTTTCATGAATAATTAGAAGCATAAATAGCAATTTGTGCAATTAGCATTCCTGTTAATTGCCCTAGAGTAATTAACAGTGCCGCAGCTAAGTAAAAAGGCCATTCAGGGTCTGGCAATAATTGCCATTTATATTAAGCCACTTCCCCTGGAGCCCCCCCCCCCGCCATCCATCCACCATTAAGGGGGGGGGGGGTGGGGGGTGGAATCAACGTAAATTAGTTGGCAGCATTGTGTGAGTAATTTTGAGTACAAACAGCTAGCCTTCCGTGGCATTGAGACGCCCCCGCTGTGAAGTTGAGCGTTTGTTGTGCTCCACTTGTGGACACGACGAGAGACGAGAGGACGAGTCGTTGCGGCCGCAGTTCAAGGTGTGATTGGTGTCAATTTATAATTTTGTCATTTTTTTCTCTCCGTTCTTTTTACGGCCGATTGCAGCTCTTCGCACGAAGACTTCGGCAGGGACCATGCTCTGTACGGACACGGCGTCTGTAAATGGCCTGGCTGCGAAACCGTCTGCGAAGAGTTTGGCCAATTCCTCAAGTGAGTAACACACACTCCTCGTTCAGCGGCCACTGCTGCAGTTATGTACCGTGGGGGAGGTTATTAAATGCAGGCGTACACGACAGGCACGTGGCACTGTTTATATTCACGCGGTAGTCACCACCTTTCATCGATTCATAATTCGGACTTTGCACGTGAATCGGGGCAATGCATTATGTGTGTGATTATTTAGAAATGTTGTGCAATTTACAAAATGTTTTGACATCATATGTGAAACATGTTAAAAATGTCAACCGGGGGTTTTGTTTTTTTCTGTTCTGTCAATGCTAAATTGTAGACATCTGCTGTGAATAATGTGAACCAGACTCCGGTGAACAAAAAAAATATTAAAACGTGTGATGGTCACTGATAAAGCATCAAAAGGGGCAATGCTTTGGATACCGAAGACATCGGTTGGAAGTGCTTTTTCAAGCTGGAATAAAAGCATGAATATATATGAAAAAAATGAGGGTGGTGGAATAGGATGTTTTAATTAAAAAATAAATCCTATCTGATTAATGTTTAAGCGCTTTCGTGCACCGTTTCATAAGGGACTTGGGGGGGAAAGCGTGTTTCCGGTTGAGTTGTTTTTCAGCATTTCTTAAACGACCGTGTTCTTTAGAAGATGTTTTTTTCTCTCTCTCCCTTCCTCTAGGTTTAATCTTTAATTATTCTTAAATTGGATGTATTCCCCAAAGCTAATTAGGCTCATTGTGGCTCAGAGTCGCCGTCTGTGATGATTCCAGGTCACACGAGTGTGCTAGGTAGCTTCAGGGGTCACTGGAGAGGAGATTTTGAGTCCTGTGAACAATTACCCTAATTAGCTCATTATTAGTAGCCTTGATGGGCAGAATAATTGTGCAGTTATCGGGTGCTAAGAGCAAGAGAAGTTGGGGTCTTGCCCTTTTATTGTAAAAGCGCTTTCCACTCAGCCAGCTTTAATCCTCCAGACCCTTGGATATTATGAATAGTCAATTCAAGGATAAAAGTGCCTCTGAAATAAAAACAGTCTAGTCTTGGCGTATGTGTTTTTTTTTCTTTCTCGAGTGTTCATAACACAATCTTCAAGTGGAGACATTGTGTACATTTAACGCCGGTTAGCAGGGACATTGTAGGCAAAGAAGAAAGTAAATTGGGCGGAATAGTGGTTTGCAGTCCACGGCTAACTGCAGTGGATTTTTCCATCCAGCAGTGGATATTGGACTATAAAAACACACATCACGTAACGCCAACAAATATGTTTCAACTTTGCATTACATTGCTACAGCAGCTGCACACTAAAGGGGTAAAGGTGCAAACCTGCAATAACTTTCTCATGCCACTGCTGATGGAAGGTGCCTCCACTAGAGGGAACTATAGACAGGGTAGTTTGGCCTACTCTTCTACACTAGTGACGTAGTATGCAGGGTAATAATGCCAAATATTTATTGAGGAAAGTCTCTATGACATCTCTTGGTCAATTTGCATATCCAGGCCTACAACACATGGCAAGCTCTGGTTGTTACCCATCCAAATGTTAACCGAGTCCAAGCCAGCTTAGCTTCTGAGGTCTGTCCATACTGAGCAAAGGTGGAGTCTGTAAACTTGTAGACCACAATATCCACCCATAAGTGATTCCCACAATGTTTTTTTGTTTGCTAACAACATTCATTATGCAACTTGAAAACACATTTCTACACAGACATTATGTTCAGTCATCGACTCCGTGGGTTAATATTGCACACAACACGTGTATTTATGTAAATTGATACACGCATGTGCCGTTAATACCCTTCCTCGCGAGTGTTGCCTGACTCCAACAAAACGTAAGCAAGTGAAAACGCAACAATCATCGTTCATGGCAGCGCCTACAATCACGCGATGGGGAAGCTTTAAGTGAACTCTCAGAGATGACGATTTCCGCTAATAGAACGATTGTACGTGTCCGGGCATCTCAAACTTGCACGGAAAACATTATTTTTTATTTTCAAAGTGTGCATGTTAAATCATCCGTGCACGCACAGGAATCCTTCCCAAGTAAACAAATTGCTTTACGCATTATTTCACGTAGACCTTTAGGTTTTTTTTTCTTTTTGGAGAGTGGGGGTTGGGTTATTTTCCCCTCTCCCCGAAATTGTTTTCTTGTTACGGGAATGTTGTTTCCACATTTCGACGCGCCACTACCGCCGTTAGAATATTCCGGCAATGCCCTAATGTTGCAGTGCACTTATTCGCAAGCCTAGCACCACGCTTGAGAGAATTCATAAATATTTTATCGGGATATGTCTTTGCGCAGTAAACACGGGCAAAGTAACGCAGTTTATATCTGACAGCTTACAGGCTGCGGAACATCACTATTCCGCATGCCATCTTTGTTATCAAATAACCATTAGAATCGGGGAGAGAAAAAAAACAACATTCCCTCTTGTGTAAATACATACTCCTATCTTTGAAGACAGTTGTAGCAGTGAAATAGAGGATATATTTAGATACATTTACATCGTCTGCAACACGGTCTGATTTTTTTTACGGAAGACTGGCGGCGAATTGTTGGCTGCATCACATTGTAGGAGATTCTGTGTTAAATTAAAGCCGCTTGTGTAACGTGGATTGGTTGCAGAGCAGGCGGTCCGTGGTGAGGAGGTAGCGAGTTCAAATCTTGGTTGGGGGTTGGCTCAGCCGATCATCGCTCCTGGTTGATAACGTGAATACCACTTAATTCTAGATTTGAAGCTTTCCAGTTTTAGTGGTGGTCTCCCTGTTACAGGTTGAGTCACAAACCGCACCTCTCCATAACAAAGGCTCACCCTCTTAAGCCTCACCTTACCATATTAATAAAAGTATGCGGCCCTTGCCCCACCACCTTCTCCAACCATTATATAAACGGAGTGGTAGCTCCTGCAATCTCTCATTTACTTGATACAGCTGTCGTGGCTGTGACGGTACCACCTGAAGACGGAATCTTGTGTTGCCTCCGAAACGTCGTGATTTTTATTTTATTTTACTTTTTAATGTTTTTACCTACGTGACTTTACCGAAAAAACCTAAGAATATGAATGTGAATACCACTTTGTGGAAAAAGTCAACGATGGTTGTTCCATGCCATAGACTTGCCCCCCCCCCCCTGCTCCCCACCATATCAATGTGGAATTTCCCCCACACGCTCAGTGCTGTAAACAAGAGATGAGCACACCACCTCAATGCTTGATGGGGCAGGGAATCACTTACACTTTAAATGTTATAAAGCTAATACATTAATCTTTCATTCGCTTTCCTTAGCAGCAGGACATATACTCGTACTATTCATAATGAAGGTTTTTGGGTTAGATCACGTAAGGATAAATGTGTCGAAAACCCTTCACCACCCGACACAGCCAATTAGTAAGGGATTTGTCGCGTAAACAAAGCGCCAATTAGTTTACTACTTCAGCCCACCGCTGTGTTGGAGATGAAATCCACGACATTTACAATCTGAGTAGTACGACGTTTCCCTGGTAATGACATCCAGCATCATCGGGCGATTTGCCAATTGGCCGCGTCGGGTGGTGGAGGGCTTCGACACATTTATACTTACGCGATCCAACCCAAAAACCTTGATTATGAGTAATATCGGTCGCGATAGCCTACGTGTTAAACTAAAATGACATTGATGTCATTTACTGTACTCATTTTTATTATGTTTATTTGTCATTTATACTATTCCACTTCATGTGAGACGGCTTGCTTCAGTGATATCTTACACGAGTATCGGTAACTACTTATGCTCGGGCTAGACGCTGCATTTGACCCCAATGGCATTGAATGACTGCTTGAGAGAGTCAGACTCTGTAGGCTTGTGCTGTGAGGTGCGGTTTAAGCAATGGTTGATCAAATCCATCTATCTTATCAGTGAGGAGCTTTTTCTTGGTTCTTTCGGTAAAGTCACGTAGAAGGGAAGTAATAAAATAATAAAAATAAAACATAATAAATTACTTCTCACGACGTTTCGGCCACAACGCAAGCAGCCGTCCTCAGGTGAAGGATGAAACACCACCTGAGGACGGCTGCTTGCGTTGTGGCCGAAACGTCGTGAGAATTATTTTATTATGTTTTATTTTTATTATTTTATTACTTCCCTTCTACGTGACTTTACCGAAAGAACCAAGAAGATGAATCCCTGCAGTCACGAAAGCTTTAAATCGAAATTTTAGTATGTATTATTTTTATTATTTTATTATTTCCCTTCTACGTGACTTTACCGAAAGAACCAAGAAGATGAATCCCTGCAGTCACGAAAGCTTTAAATCGAAATATTGTATTATGTTTTATTTTTATTATTTTATTACTTCCCTTCTACGTGACTTTACCGAAAGAACCAAGAAGATGAATCCCTGCAGTCACGAAAGCTTTAAATCGAAAAGTGAGAAGCTTGTGAGTGTTGTCCGTCATGCACGTGGATTTTCTCTGCACCCTCTGGTTTCTGCCCACATCGATGTGAACACCCAATGGGGTGTGGCCTGCAGAGCCCACCTGAATAGGGATCTCCAGGCCAAATGAGGCTTTCCTGGGTAAATGAAGGGCATTTCTGCAGTTGCCATTTATCAGCCCAGTGTTGCCCCTGCAACGGTTTTGTTCCAAGGCAACGTTCTTTTTGCTTGCAAGGTAATAACCGAGCTCGTAAACAAAATATTTGGCTGTGGAATATTTTTTTATGATACTAATTTCATTGTCACGCTCTTGCATGTTGGCAGAGCACGCTCATGACGCGAAAATATAACAAAATATGGTACGTGTCTGCCTTTGCGTCGGTCTGTACATTCATACGTATATGCGCGTGCACAACTCTTAGATTGATAATGACATGGGTTTTTGGGCTAGGGTCTTGATCCCTCAGTCAGTTAGCCAAGGCTTGGCCAACTTTCTTCATTCATTAATTCCCAAGAGTGTTTGATGGCACTTTGCTCAAATATTCCCCTCTGTAAAGAGCTTACAGTTGGGTCTCAATTACTACCGGGCCTCGGTGGGGTTCCAGCAAAGGGTCT